TGACTTTTCCCTTGAACTTGTGGATATTATAACATGCAAGGCTCGAGGTTAATTTGATTTCTCTATGTGAATTTCAAACATTGAAGCATCATCCCTCGCTCTTGAGAAATTTCATTCACCTCTAGATAATCAAAATATCAAAAAATAGGGAGAAAAACAAGACAAAGAAAGAAATTATCAGAAGGAATGTACCAAGAGAAGAAAATGTACCAATGTAGACTCAACCTAAAATCGAAATCCCTAAAACAAAAATTTTAGGGTTTCTGCAACAAAAAACTAGAAACTTAGATTAGAAAACCTCAAATTGAGCAATCAAATGAGAAGAAAAAGATAAATCTATTAGGGATAAGAGAAATTTTGCTACCTTGAATTGACTTCTAAACTTCGAATTGAAATTGGAAGCAAACTCTGTTAGTATTTATGCAACTACCTAGTTGAATGTACTAGGGGGGAGAAGAGAACATACCAGTGCACCTTCTCTTAATGAAATCCCTAAACCAAGAATTATCTGAATAACAGCCTTCAAATTCATGCTAATTATTAAGTTTAAATACAACTTAACAAGATTCCAGAACATAAATATCAAAAAACAGAGCACTACTGCAATTGACATAATTAGGCACTAGAAAACATCTTATGCCAAACACCACAACAAGTGGCCACACTGCATTCTTCTAAGCGAAATCAAAGAAAGCGTAAGAAATAAAGAACATATTCTCCTCTAATCAATATGAATTAAATTACTTAAGAAAAGAAAATAAAAAGAAGAAGAAGATAATCCAATAGCAGAAAAATTGATTTGACTGATTCAGCAAAGACCAAAAAATAGTACTCTATTCTACTCTTGTCCACCTTTCCTCAGCTTTCTTCACAACAAAAATAATTTCAATAGGGAAGAAAAAGTTATTGCAAACAAGAGGCAGAGCACACAAGCATCACAATTTACCAATTCTTTGCCACAAACCCATGAAGCTTATTATCCAAAAATAGAAACAAGTTAAAAACAAAAGAAAAATGCGAAAAACAGAAGAAAAATGCAGAGGCAATGGTAGAGTACAGGACACAAATTCTTTTGACATGAGGAAGTAGAAGAAGAAACAGTTATAATCAATAAAAAATCTTCAAACAATCTTCAATCAAAAAGAAAAGAAAGGGGAGCAATGGAAGCTTACTAGCAGTGGCTTTGTAGATCTGGTAGCAAGGGGTCCACGTCTCACGGTAAGTAACAGCAATTAGGGATTTTCGAGGAGAAGATGAGGATTATCGCGATGGTTTGGGCAATCGTTGACAATTGTCGACAGTCGTAACGTGGCCCAAATCTAGAAGAAGATGAGGAATGAGAGGGATTTTCGATTAACTCTCTCACCAACTCACACTACCAACCAACATTCATCATTCATCACCACCAATTAGTAGCAGAAACACCAAAAAAGGGCAAAAAAGTAAGAGAAAAGGAAGGAGACAATTTTATTTGGCCACAGGTTTAAAGGTGAACTACAATAAGTTAGAAATTTTTTGTTGTGGAATGCACCCAAACGTAATAAGGGAGCTAGCTAACTTGTATGGCTTCAAAGTGGGAACCTTCTTGTTAGATACCTTGGGGTACCGCTTAAAACTGGAAGACTAACAGATGTTGCTTTAAAGCCTCTCATCACAAAGATAACTGAGAAAATCAGTTCATGGACTTCCAAATATCTGTCATTTGCCGAAAGATTGCAGCTTATTTCATTTGTTCTTCAGAGCATAACAAATTTTTGGTGTTCTATTTTCATCCTACCAAAATGAGTAATTAAATCAGTGGAGGGAATTTGCAATGCTTTTCTTTGGAAAGGTAGGGCAGCTGATGCAAGAGGAGCCAAGGTAAACTGGGCAACAGTATGTCAACCAAAGATGGAAGGATGATTAGGCTTGAAGCCTTTGTATAATTGGAATGTGACTTGCATTTTGTGATTTATTTGGCTGCTTTTCACCAAGGCAGGCTCTATTTGGGTGGCATGGGTGCAAACATATTTGCTTAAAGAAAAGAGTTTTTGGTCAGTAGGAATTCTTGCAGACACTACTTGGAGCTGGAGAAAAATCCTAAAACTTAGAACATATGCTAGACCTCTAGTGAAGCATATAGTTGGTAAAGGTGACACAATTTTTCTCTAGTATGATTCTTGGCATCCCAAGGGACCTCTTATTGAAGCATATGGGCAGAAAATTATACGGGATGCAGCCATTTCCTCTAAAGCAGAACTGTTTCATGTAATCTAGGAGGATTATTGGAAATGGCCTCCTGCTAGGTCTATTGAACTATTGCAGATTCAAATTGCTTTGTGTGGAACATTATATCCTAATCAGGCTATGGAGGATCAGTTTGTTTGGTTGGCTTCTCCATCAAATTCTTTTCGAACAAGTGCTACTTGGAACTTCCTTAAGGAAAAAAGATATAAGGTACCCTGGTTTAGACTCATTTGGTACTCAAAGTCTATTCCTAGACATAGTTTTATTGCTTGGCTAGCTACATTACATAGACTCTCTACCAGGTCCAGGCAAAAGAATTGGTCTTCTTCCATTGATGACACTTGTGTGCTACGTGGGAATGCAAATGAAACTAGGAACCATCTCTTCTTCTCCTGTCCCTACACTACTCATATTTGGGAAAAGATTTCTTCTATGCTGGAATTCCCATTAACCTGCATTTGGCAAGATGCTTTGGATTGGTTATGTAAGAGAGTTAAACATAAGGCACTGTACAGCTCTCTTCTTAAATTAGCTCGGTGTGCATCAATATATCATATCTGGATTGAAAGAAATAGCAGGATACATAGACAGCTATACAGACCTCCTTCTACAATAATTGATATGATTCAAATGGATCTCCGAGATAGCATACTAGGGTCAGTGAAGCAAAGGTCTTCTCCCATGTCAAGGAGAATTGCAGTTCAATGGGGATTAGAAACTTTATGTACAAGTAAGGTTTGAATATACATTAGTTTAGGAGTTGTTTCCTTCTTTGTACTGACATTAGTAACAGCCTTAACCAAAAGAACTGTTTTGTATAGATTTTGATAATAAATTCACATTTTAGCCAAAAAAAGAAAAAAAGAAAAGGAAGGAGACACACAGAAGAAGAAGGAGAAACGAGATTTTGGCCTTTTAGTTGGCTGAGTTGTGTTTTTCTGCTTTGAAGCAATTAGGGAGAAAGAAGGCTGGTATTGATTTTCGAGTTTGATTTGGAAGAAGATGAGCAAGAAGGCAAGGAGAAGAAACGCAGGATTCGACAACTTGAGAAAGAAAATGGAACCCCATATATACTGCTGTTTTTGTAAATAGAAAGAAGTGTGAGGATAAAATAAGAATATCATATTAATTTCATTAAATCCTAGGTGAGAAACTCTCGCAAAACACCAATTTCGTGCTTCCGAGATTTTCACAAGAACGGGGAAAAGGACAGCTTTTGAGAAGTTATAGCATTTTTTTTATAAATTATGGTATTTGATGCCGTTTGTGTTTTTAAAACCAAAAAATCATTCCCACAATTTGCACCAAACAGGTCCTAAGTTCCATAACCATCTTTGTTTGGCGGAGATTAATAGGAATATCAATTTGACAACAGTTGGCAGATTTCTTTATACTGTAATTTCCAGAGTGGGTTTTCATTTGATACTTTGCAGTGGAATGTATGGTTTCTTGGGGATGACAATTATTCCATAAAATTTGTCTGGTGTGGGAAATGTTTTTCCCAACTTTTTTAGGAAAGTTAAAGAGGATAATTTAGTATTTACACTGCTCAAAAATATCATAACAAACAAATGATAAAGTTGATTTCCTTTTTTTTTTTTTTTTCTAATTCTTGATCGTTACATAAAATTCTAATTTCAAAAATATATTTCTTTTCTCAGTTGTGAGGTAAAAAGTATTTTTACACCCCCCCCTCTCCCAAAAAAAAAAATCCCAGACTTGGAGCCATTGTGCAACTCTTTTCTCAAAATTTTCAACGTCAAAATTCTTTAAAAAAATTAAATAATTAACAGAACATCAAAAGGTTACTGTTTCAGTCTCGACCAATTCTTTAGGAAAAAACCTTCTTCAAAAAAATAGTAATTTTACACCCCCCCCTCTCCCAAAAAAAAAAATCCCAGACTTGGAGCCATTGTGCAACTCTTTTCTCAAAATTTTCAATGTCAAAATTCGTTAAAAAAAAATTAAATAATTAACAGAACATCAAAAGGTTACTGTTTCAGTCTCGACCAATTCTTTAGGAAAAAACCTTCTTCAAAAAAATAGTAATAATAAAAAAAGTAAGTTTCCAACCAAATAAGTATATCGTAAGCATGCTTGGACATTAGCAGAGTGTTTCCATCAAAAATATATTTTTTAAAAGAAATATTGTGCAGGCTAGGATGAACCTGGTATGCATAATTATAACTATTAACGGGAATCAATGATCTGTTGGTTTGAGTGAAATGAACTTGATTCTTTTTAAGTAAGATCTCAACTTCGAGTATTATGAATAAGAAACTAAGACTGAAAGAGCTTCTCTTTAATGGAGTTTAACGTGATTCGATTTTGAATTAATTAAGACCTAATGTAATTACTGAAAATCGAAAAATTAATACCAAAAAAAAAAATTACTACTAACAGGAGAGTGTCGTAAATGTTGTGCTTTCCCTCCCTAAAATCAATGGTCATTCCTCTTGGTAAGTCATCGTTTTGTTGCCGTGCAAGTTTGTTCACCTTGAATTTGTTCCTTCCTGACGACAACAAGGGTCTGTGCATTTTTTTTGGGAATACGTTTTAGATCCCGTTACTCCTAGGGTTGTTAGTGATTTTGGGCGAGATTTGCATGCTTGAATCGGAAAAGGCAGACAGACATAACGAATTAAAAACCCGATTTTATTAATAATGACTTGAATAAATGTTGTCATTATGTACACGAATGAGGAGCAGGAACAAGGGGATTACTGATGTCAAAATTGTCAGTCCGTAGTTCGTATAAATGCCATACAAGAAATTAGCACCTTAGACGTTCCAGGGAGACGGGAGTTGAGGGGTAGAGGAGCGAGATATGTTCAACCTGAAACCAAAACAATGCCTTTTTAGATAATTATAGCTCGATAAACAGACCGCTAGATGCGACATATGGAAATGTTCATTTCAGTCTGGACTAGTAGAACAGAAAATCACCATGTTATAAAAGAAGGAAAAAGTGTTGTGCAACCTAAACTAGACTAGTAGAACAAAAAAATCACCATGTTACAAAAGAAGGAAAAAGTGTAACGCAATCTCGACTGTATTAGATTGCATAACCATAACTATTAGATGGAAATAGGCCTCTTGATATTAAGAGCCTTCCCTCCATCCAATGGCCCCTGTTTTATAGTCCAGGACAGTCTGGACCATAACAAGGGACTCGATTCTAATAAAATTCAGCAGCAAGAGTAAATTTACCTATTAGCATCCAGATGTTCAGCTTCAGAAATTAGCATGATCGCCCCACCAAGAAACATAAGAGAATTTGCAGCATTCCAGAATGAGAAAAAATCAAAGATCCGTGTATGTACATATATAGTAACTGCCACAGGTAGAAGACAGTGAGCAAGAGCAGCAACAGATAGAAAATTATGCTAAATGAAGCACGGCTCAAAACAAGCATTTGTAGGCAATGAATCCTACAAACCTGAAGGAAAGATGATACTCAGGCAACTGCGTTTATGTATATGTCACTGCACTTTATTTTGCACCAAATGCTTTTTCCTATTTTTTTCTACTTGTCTCAACCAACAAGAAACAAACAATAATTGGATGCTAAGGAAGACCTGCACAAAACACAAATAGTATGTCTAATTAAGAAAAAAATAGAGAAAAAAGAGAATATATAAATGGGAACGAGGATATTAACACAAAAAAAGATAGATTCCCAGGATTCAGCAGAAAAGGAATAAAAAAGCAGGGTGATGTTTGAGAGTAGCCAACCTGAGACTGCCAACTATACTGCCCAGTTTATGTAGCATTCGAACCAACAGATTGCAGCCTGTGCAGTAGAAAGGTGGTTGCAACCTTGGAGCACAAAGTAACCTTTCCCACCCCCAGAACACCTCCAAGTGAATAGTGAATAGTGAATAGTTACTAACAAATGATGAGCAGTGAAAACTAAAACTCCTAGGGAACAAAATTGCCGGTATAAAGGCAAGCTCTAGTACAGTGTCCAACCAACCCCATCAACCTAATGATGTTTTTCTATCTTTAGATAAAGTTATAACTTGAATCTTCAGATATCAATCTCACTATTGTACAAATTTAGAAGAATTATTTCTGTACAACCTTTGCAAGTCCTTAACACCATCCTGAGGGGGAAATTAATATGGTAGGTCCATGGCAGTGTCAAAAGGCAGCAGAAGCATTCTATAAACTAAGAGCACCAGATTCCATCTTGTGTTGCAAACATTTACAGTGAGCTTGGGAAAACATGATGGCTGGTTTCTCAACGGTAAGTATCAAGAATTGATGCACGAAAACCCAAGCAGCCTCTTCTCCTTTTCTCCATAGAACTTCACATTAGCAGATATGCAATTAAAAGAAGTTCTCCTCCAACAGATAACATCATCCTTGCCAACATGATTCTTTCAACGGCTAATGGCCTCCATTGCCACCCGTATTAAATGTAGCAATCGTTCTATGTCTTGGAAGTTGAAATCAAGAGCCAATTTCACAGAAGATACAATCTCTTCACTTTTGGCCACTCCCAAACTAGCAGCTGCAAATGCTAGCCGGGATTTCCTTGAAGCTTCCATTGCAAGGTTTACATCCTGTGCCTGCAGATGATCAAAATTTGTTATGCTAATGGTCATGTAATATCAATCCTGAATGCATTTCAGTTTCAACTTTTTGACTAGTTCCCAACTACAAGTTCAAAGCTAAATCCTATAATGCTAAACTTACAAAGTTAAGCAGCCCTAAAAAGCTTGGACGGTCTCGGGCAGAAATGACCATGCTTCCAGCAACCTGGGGAGAGCTTACACCTTTGGGGAAGGAAACCTTATCCACAGCTGTCGGGTGGTTTAAGTTATCGACATCAGAAGCAGAAGAAGAAGGAGATTCACCTGATACAGTATAATCAATAGCGAAATCTAAAATCAATGACAGAAATTAAATGCTTTTGTCTCAAACTAGTGCCAAAACAGTGAAACAATGAAACATTAACATATATGAGGGAGCTGGGAACTTGAGCTGCAGTTTGAGAAATCCAAGGATACTTAAAGGAGTAATTAGTAGACATGGATATTAATCAGGTCTGCTTTTGTAATTAAACCCAAAGCAACCATACTTTAAAAAAAAAAAAAAAAGGCATAATATATTGGTTAGTGACTGTATACTTTTGTGATGGAGTATTTCTTATACTCCTTTATAATTTATTGGCTTTTGCTGATCAAGAAAAAAAAAAGGCATAATATATTGGTTAGTGACTGTATACTTTTGTGATGGAGTATTTCTTATACTCCTTCATAATTTATTGGCTTTTGCTGATCAAGAAAAAAAAAAGGCATAATGTAAACAATTTAGCAAATAACACATTGATGCAGCACTGAAATCTACTTATGTGAACATGTTGCCACATAAAAACCCCAAAAAGGGGGGGGAAAATGAAAGAAAAATAAAACAATAACCTAGAATAAATATAGTATTTTGAGACACTCATTTTGAAGGGGTGATGTTATTGTACCAGGATGAAATATAAAGAGTGAGTATATTCACATTACATAAAACCAATTTCACAATTCATAGCATAAATACAACTGCTAGCATGTTCATGTATGCAAATATTTTTGATAGCTCACTACAGCTCAAAACTACTCATGCTAAATAATAAATGTCTGTTCTGCTCCCAGGATATTGAAGCAACTAAGTTTTTAATATAAAATCCAGGAGATATCAGAGGCTGCTGCTCTGTAATTTGTAGTGAAGTGCTGAAATACCAAGTAAATAGCATTTAATAAATAAAGACACAAGCAACAAACAGGAGGACTTCATTTTCACCCAGCATTCTTGACAAGTTTTGATCCTTATCTTCAAATTACCTGGAGGAACCATACGTACAGCTGCATGCAACTCATTTCGATATCCTCTTGCACGGGTGTGCGAGGAATAAACAACCCTCATATATGCCACCTCCATGCATTTGTAGGCCAAAGCAGCAGGAGCCATTTCTTTTCGTTTCTCATATTCATGGGCACAATACCTGGAAAAAAAAAATAGTAAGAGAACTACAAAAACACAAGAAAAGATGAAATCAATCAAAAATATTACATCAAAAAATGCTTCAGGACTAAATTTGAGGGAAAATAACAACCAGAACTAAAAAGGAAAAGGCAAAAGATGGCTGGCCACCCAACACAGACGTCATTAGAAGTGACACTAGAGTAATATGGAAATTTATGGAAATTTATGGAAATTTATGAAAAGAAACCATGAAATACAAACTTGAAAATTAACCTAATGGTTTGGAGAACTATAGAATAGAAAAATTAGGAGATTCAATGTTTTAGAGAATGGAATGGTAACAAAACACAAGTCAATCCTAAATTAACCATTAGCTTCGCTTAGATCATAAAAATTCCATAAGCACTTTAGTAATGGAAAAACAATCCGAAAGAACTACAGATAGACTGTGAATGAGCTATAGATAGACTTTTGTATGAAATGGCAGAATCCATTTTCTTTATTAGGTATGTATTTCCTGACAAAGTTTCTCATTCCTAGAACATGTAAACCATGACCATAGAGGATCAAGAAACTGCTCATTTCAACTAATACAAGATAAGAGTTTAAAGAACATTACTCAAACTCAGAATTAGAAAGAGAAGGAAGCCACATTTTCAGACATCTTCCTGTTTGACTTACTCGCAGAGTTTTGCTGTGCTACTATACACTGGCAATGAGTCAGCATTTTTGGCACTCTCACTGGTGCAAGATTCTAACAGAGAGGCTCCATGAAGAAACTTCAGGGCTGCCTGGAAGTAAAGCCCAGTGCTTTCCAGGATATCTCCGGTGCTCTGGAGGAATAGCAATAATAATGTTACTAGAAGCAAGGACAAGAACAGCAACAAATAATAAAACATGAGAAAAGAACAAGTTTCAAAACCTTGAAACGATCAGCAAGATGCTTTAAATCTGTAGCTTCTCTCATGGCCTGACTTGAGGAATCCTTTCTCTGTGAACCTGGGGCATCAGGATCCCTGACCCTATGCCCACCTGGTGTGGGCTGTCTTATACTATTGTTCTGTATTCCATTTGGACAATCAGCTTTATTTATTTGTCTTGGCACTTTTGACGCATCATCACCTTGAGAGGCATTGATTCCTGAGCTATCTCCACATCCCTTTTTGGGCCCTGAAACTGGGTAAACATTTCCAGAGGGCGGTAAGGATAGTGGATTCCCTCTCCTGGAGACTACTTCCAGTTGATCGGTTTTGTCAGGGTGCAGCCTCTCTTTATATCTTTCACCATCACTGTCCTGAATAAGACTCTGCTTCACATTGGGCATTGCATCTTGACTGCAGGTAGTGTCTACTTTTGCGTCAGGACCTTCATGACCCAGCAAGTTTGCTTGACTGTCTCTTTTACCATTCTTACTATAAAATTTCTCCACAGACTCTTTCTTCTCAGCATGTCTGTTCTCTGTTTGATTAGACTTGATCCCAAACTTCTCCTGAAATTTATTACTACCATCTCTAGGTTTTCCTTCAGACAAAGGTACAGAATCTTGCAATTCAGGTTTAGAATCTTGTAATTCACTGGAATCAGGTTTAAAATTCTGATTATTGTCCCTGGAATGTGAAAATCCCTTCCCAGACCTCCTTGGATGAGAGCCATTAGCATTAAAATGGTTGCTATCATTCTGCCTTTCTTCATTGTGGTGTTGATCTATTGTTTTTGATTTACAAGGATATTGAGTCTCTTGGCCTAAATAATCAACACTGCCATTAGTAAATTGGCCTTTATTGGTATCACGTGAAGGTGCAATCAACAGCTTAGCTTGACCACCAGATAAATAACTGGTGTCCTTATCCCGAAAATCAAGCACAGAAGCCTCATGAGACCTGTGTTGAGCTGCAGAAGAAGTTTTCTCTGTCCTTCCTGTCTTTGATCTGTCACGACCAACATTATCATCACCATTTGAATATCTTCTTGGACTTCTGGTGGAAAAATGTTCCGTATCACGAGATTCATCTCTCATGGAAATGTTCCTTCTTGCCAGTGGAAATTTATCAGGATTAGATATTCTCATAGGTGATGAAGAAACTGACTCCACTGGTGAACCTTTTGTCTCTTGGAAGCCAGGCTTTGATTTATGGGAACCAGAAACCTTAGATGAGCTTGAAGTAGCTGCAGCAGAAGGTTGTGCAGGTCCAAAATCCCTTTTGAGGGTATCTGTACCATCCAAGCTACCTCGAGAAAGAGTGGCCCCTTTATCTTGCCCTTTTTGGTGGTTCTTTGAATGACTCCCTTTTCTGTCTAGTTTACCATTGATTTTACTTGCCCCAGAATCCTTACTTTCAGACTTGGACACTCTGACCTTCTTTTCCTTCCTGCAGTCATTCCCACTAAATTCCTCATTTTCTAACACTTTTCCTTGGAATGAACCTGAATAAATATGACTATCATGCTCATTGATTTTCCTCTTTAATGAGGAATCTCCACCATGTTTTGCCAAATCCAGGCATCCATCATCAGCAGAAGGTGGAACTCTGTCCTTTGGTCCTTTAGCAGAGACTTGAGGTCTTTCTTTCTTATCCACTTTTGAATCCTTATAAGAACAAGATTCATTGTGTTTGGGCTTATCCTTGCCAATTGACATGGTAGGTAAACTACAATTTGATCCAGAACCCACCTTGTCCATGGCCCCAGCATGGTCAGACACCCTATCATCATCTGTAAAATGCAAATTCTCACGCTTGATTTTCTTGGCTGCTCTAAAACAATCTTGATCACTATGCCTCTTGCCTTTCATCTTTAAATTCTTGCCACCACCTATCCACATTGTTATAAAAGAGGCACATTATATATTTTAAGAAAAGGGAGTTTCACAAGAACAGTAAAATATATTCTTAACAAATACCTCCATCAGAACTGTGCCCTGGTACTTTATGCTTCTCTTTCCGCTTATTTCTGTGCTTCTCTGCCAGCAAGTCACAGGATTCGCTTAGGTTTTGAAAACCAGGTTCACCAACTATGGGAGATTGACTTACATCATTAACGCTTCCAGTTCTGTCTGATGCCTGCACAGTTTTCTTCATAGAGTGTGACAACTGTGCAAGTCCATCTTTTTCAGTGACATTTGATATTTCTTTCAAACCATGTTTCTTTCTTCCACCACTAGATGTGGCATGCAAACCATTACTTCCATGGCTCTGGTAGGGGTGCTGGATGTCAGCTGCCTGTGTTCTGGATATATTGTTGCCAATATTACTGTTTAGATTAGTTTGATTTTCAGTAGCAGGGACTTGATACAATGCAATAACAGCTCTTGTCGTCTCCTCCTCACTAACACCACATCGGTTCATTCCAGGCCTAGAACATATACAAACAAGAGAGATCAGATCCACAGAAAAGGAAAATTAAAAAGGAGAGGGTTGGTTTGTTGAATTTGATATCTTTCATCTTTCGTTTATCATTCCATATCATCCATTAAATACTGATATTCCTGCATTGGAATTTTTGTTTAACTTCTTGTTCAACATGATTCTTTCCAACAATACATAAATGAAAGTAAAAATTCAAGAATAATAGGGTAGAACTTACAGCCAGGTAAGCATGCTACACAACCACTTCTCAGGTAAGCTGGATACATTCATGCCAAATGGCAGAAGCCGCCACTTCTGACATTTATCACAACAAACCCATTCTTCTATCAACAAAGGAGCTGCTGCTGTTTCAGAAATGTTCACATTGGGAGGATGCAGATTAGCTTCTCCTGTCAACTTAGTGTATGGTTCTGATGCCAACAGCTTATTAGATTTCTCATTACTTAATCTATCCTTAGATGTGTTGTTTAGAGCAGGTCTGCTTTTGTCAATCTTCTCAGTTTCCTTCAGCCTATGTTCAGAAAAAATTCCTACTGAACTAGTTTGGTTCTCCTCCTGTTCTGATTCTTCCATGTCTCCAAAAAGATCTCTATACCTATCTTCAGCCTTCTTAAAAGGCTTTTCTAAGTTTGAGTCACCCATTTCTCTTTTGGTCACATTATTGTCTACATGAGTAGTCTTCTTACTTTTGGGCATTGAAGAAGAACCACCACTCCTCAAGCTTTCTTTCAGTACATCTGCAGCAACATTGCCATAACTTTGATTTCCCTTTGATTTTCTTTTTCCCCCAGAAGAAGCATGCTCCTTTCCCTGGGGCGACTTCATACTCTCTTGCTCGTTTGATATAGCTCTCTGGCTAACCTTTTCCTTGAGGTCATCTACTTGTTCTCTGTTTACAGGTTTCTTCCCCTTTGAAGGGTTTAGGTCAATGCTGACTATGTCATAAGATTTTTCTTCTTTAACATGGCTATCTATCCTTGGGTAGCATGAAAGATCATCTGGAAAGATTGTCTTTTTATCTTCCCAAACATTTCCTTCTGAATCAGACTTTGGGTTCTCTCGGCCAATCTCTACAGTGAATACTGGCTCAAATGATTCATCCTTTACTTCATTATGGACAATGCCCTTCTTGTTTACCTTGTCAACAGCAGAATATGAATTAGATAAAAGTGGAAGCTTTAAGGTTTTAGAAACAAGTTCCTCACATGTAAAATGATCAACATCCACGTCCTTCTTTGGCGATCTTCTATTCTCATTCCAAATATCCCTATTGTTGGCACCTTTCCGTTCTGCTGGAAAATCATTTCTCTCCACTGACTTTGCTCTCTTATCTCTCAAAAATATCCCATCATTCCATCCAGAATCAGATCTATTATCTTTTAGAATCCTTTCCATTTTAGTCAAGTAAAGTACATTATCAGGGAGAGGTGATAAAAGTATGTCCCCAAGTACTGGAAAAGAAGTCATAACCTGCTCCAACCACATTGAAAAAAACATATATATATATCTTGTTAATTCAGGTAAATCAGAAAAAAAACAATAAATATTAAGACAACAGCAGAATGAGGATTCACCTGGAGAATATTAGTGGGAGACTCAAAAGAAACATCTTGACTATCATGATACATCCCTTCATTTTCTGAAGGGCTATTGTCCATTGATGAAGATGGTGAGACATCAAGGCCAAGACCACTGTAGATTGCAGCATTTTTTTGTGTCGACAAGTTATCAGATCCAACTTTGATTCTCAACTTCAATGTTTTCTGGTCAGCTAAATTAGCACATTTCTTGATTGAAAATTCATCAACACAGTTAGATGGTATGGATGCTTCTTGTTTGACTGGATCATTCATAAACAGAGCCTTTGACACAGGCAGTGTTCCGCCAGTAACAGAAGCAGGTCCAACCGACTGAGGTATACACGACATGACTGCCAAGTGAGGATGGCCACCCTGTATGATAAGATAAATTTATTTTCTCCAGTAACTTGATACCCTCAAATAAATCAAGTTTTAGTGAATGATTCCTCCATTTGTACCTCCACTTGCAAATTCTTTGGGGATTTGACAGTATGGCTCTGAGCTTTTGGTGGAATCCTTGGATGAGACCAAGCAGGAGACCGTTGATAAGTAGGTAAAAATGACCCATACCCACCAAACTTTGCCCCTGAGAATATATTAATAATTTTCAAAAAAAAAGTTAATCTCAAAGAATGCCTCTGATTAATTTTGGTTCTTCATCTACAAGAACAACAAATCCGTTGTTGTTTTACTTACCCAGATTTTCTGCTGAAACTCCACCTTCAAAATCCTTTTGGAAATGCCCCAAAACATCTTGAACTTTCTCACCCTTCAAATATATTACAGTAATCACATGACAAAAAGATCATGGGAAAATATGAACAGAAACTTAGAACACACACAGAAAGGTCATCAATCAAGCCATAACAACCAGGTGACATCTAAATGTATTTATGATAACTACTCTGAGAATACCACCAGAAGCAATCATGCATCATGTTCAATAAGTAACCCCCTTAAATCTCATTCTCCTAATTTGAAATTAAGAAGTTCACACCATTGAATTTTTTTCACAATAATCAAATTTCAGGGGGCCAATATAGAAACAGATTGTCCACTCTGCCTTCTCAAAAACATGAGAGGAGAATTTGCATCTAGTGATGCTAAAACTCAAATCATTGAGATACAGTACTCCACAGGCTTTATCCACGAGCCATAACCGCCAGAGACGTTACAGAAAACTGGTTCTCCATATTAATTGCTATAAATCATCCTTTTGTGTATCTACAATAAGCCAAAGATGGGCATCTTCCTAATTAACTAAAATTGAGATCATAAAACCATGTCTACCTATCTATATGGAACAGAAACTTAGTAAAACTTAACAATTCCTATTGATTCAACTTTATTCTCTTGAATTCGAAAATAAGAGTTTAAAGAATTTAGCAAAAACTAAAAGCACATTAATACAACACAATTTATCTAACATTGCAATCAACCAACATAAAACTTGGCTTGGATCTAAAATAAACAAAACAAATCCACAGAAAATATTTAACTCTTCTAAACAAAATTAACGTGTATGATACAAAAAATTCCTCATTCCAAAACACAAAAATAAACCCTTACTATGTAAGAGAGAGCAATATCAGGGTCGACGCTGGCATCGTCATAATCATCGTTGTTGTTGTTATTGTAAGAGCAAGCCTCTCCCTCTTCAAGCTCAGTGTCCATCTCTTTCCCACCTCCACCAAGCCCTAACCCTAGCCCTTTCCTCGCATCACTACTTCCCAAAGAAATCATCAAATTAACTCCTCACCAATCAATCTCTCAAACCGCACTCTCTTTCTTCCCAAACCAAAAATTCTCTCGGACCCATTTAACAGCTCAGAAAACCCACCAAAACCCACTAAGGATTTCCCCTAATTCGATCAATACCAAACCCGATCACAAATCCAAACCCAGCACAATTGGAACCTGCAATTCCAACAACAATCAAGCTATTCAAATCCAGGATCTCTTAAAAACCCAGTTGATTTATTGTTCCCTAAAACTTTTCCGTCACCCTTAATCCTCCGATCTCTATCGCTGGAATCAATTACCGGGAGAAAGAAAGAGAATGAGAGGGACTCTCTGGTTTTGGCGTACAGAGCAGCCGCGTTTTTTTATTTTTTTTATTTCATTTATTTAATTTGGTTTTTCCTTATTTCTTTTTTTTTTTCCCTCTTTGAACAAAAAATTGTTTCTTATTTAATTTCAACCAGAAGCGAGAAGAAAAAATATACTATAATAAATATTTTTGGACGGTTATGTCCCTCTAGTTTTTTCTGTTTTTAGTTTTTATCCCCCTTTTACTGTAACTGTTCGTGCCTGAAAAACAACTCAAGTAGGTGTAGTTCATGATAAATACCATCCGCATATCAAGCGCGTGGACTTCACTCTTCTTTTGGACTGTGGAAAGGAAACAGAGATCTCGGTCCACATTTGGAAACCGACCGAACAAGTAATGGTGATGCTAAGTCCTACTTTGCTTCTTTTGTGATGTTTATCCATGAAATAGCCATGAGGCCCAAAAAAAATTTTTTTTTTTCCATGAAATAGATACTGTTTATTTGAATAGATACTTATTGAAACAAAGACACGCATGTTATGGATAAATATGTGGCAATATTATAATTATAATAATACATAAAATTATAAATTTATAATTATAATATTAAATAAATATATATAATACACTTGCAGAGGCTAAGACCTTAGTTTTAATCCTTGTAAACCCCTCTTTCCCCATATTTCTCTATATTCAAAAAAAATAAATATATATAGTATTATAAATAATCCCCTCTTAATATTTTAACTATAATTATGGCATAGGTTATAAATATAGAGGTTAGTAGTATTAGAAGTGCAAAACAAAGTTCCGCGTTCCATAAAAAATCACGTAAAAGTTTAAATTTGTAGTTTATTGGTAACCAGTAAGGTAGGGAAATTGATATAAAATTATACAATTATAATATTATATGAAATTATAAATATATAATAATAATATAATATTAAATAATTAAATATATATAATATTATATATAACTTTTAACTAAAAAGAATTAATTATATAATGATAAATTATAACTTGTACCCCTTTTATCATTTTTTATTTTATCTAGGGACAATTTATATTTTTATGTATATTACCTTTAAAAAAAATAAAAATAATGAGTTTTTTATGATGGGTTGAAAATTAAAATTAAGAGATAATGATAAATTTAAAGTAAAAAAAAACATTTATCTCCCTTTAAATATAAAAAAACTACTATAGTATTACTATTTTGAAACAAAATTCAAATAAGAAAACATCTACTATTATTTTAAAATGAAAGGAATATATAATGTTACATGATATTGTAATTATAAATAATATTTTCTATATTAAAATTTCAACTTAAAGTTGGAAGGGGTAATTTCATTTAGTTTTAATTTAATTTAATAATGATATATTTTTACTTTAAGTCGATAATAGTGTAAGATATGAATTTTAATTTGTGCCATCAATAATAAAATAAATGTTTACTCCTTAAATCTCAAAATAATTATCATTTTTTACTTTAAATTTATCTTAAATTAATTGTTATTTTTTCATTTTTGTAGATAATAAATACTTTTTTATTTTAATCTTATCATTATTTATTTATTTTTATTAATTATCTTATCATAAAAAGACTCTTTATTTTTTAGCATTTTTACAATGACAATACAATAATTACAATTCCACATAAAATTGTAAATCACTCATTTAATGTTACATCATATTTCATTTAATATCATGTAGGATTATAAGCATAATCTTACATGGTATGAAATGAAATATGACATAATATTAAACATATAGTTGCATAATATCACAAATGAGCTTTTAAATAAAAAGAAATATAATTATATAATAACACATCATATTATAAGTTTATTATGTACATTTTATTTTTTAAAAATAATATAAATAAATATATAAATTATTTTTAAATTTTATATTTTTTTAATAATAATTATTTTAAATAAAGTGAGTAATAATTTATTAGTAATTTATTTATACAAGTTCATTGCAAATTGCAATATTGTTTTTGATGCACATTCTTCGTTCAAATGAAATTTACTTTAATTAACAAATCAACATACATAATTCATATTAAATTTGAATTAAATCTAAACATATAAACAAGAGAAATTAACATGTGTGTTTTAATTAATTCAAATTAATGGTGTGTTTAG